CGGAGTCGTTTCTTTCTCCTGTTAACTCCCATAGCACTTTAACCACATCCTTCCCATGACATTTCCACATTCCTCCGTGTACTTTAGCCATTGATATAAACAACTCATTAATCCTACCAGACAAGTTCATTAAATATTATCATATTATCTCTGTTATTCCACACTGTATCTGTAATTGTATCTGACACAGAGCTGGGGCTTGGTAATGGCTTTTGGAAAGATGCTTGATTACTATTGCCTTTGTAAACTTCAAGCTCATAAGTAACTAATAAATAATCCAGAATGGTAATTTATTCATATGCAGCAACAACTAGAACTGCCAAGGCAACAGTGAGTTCATGTCAGTTTAGCCAGCATATTTTTTCCTGTTCCAAGAAGCATATATGGAAAGCTGAATTGGTATCAGAAGGTTGCTTGGGTACAAGAATGAGTTGGGTGATTTTTATGAATAATAGCAACAAGATAGGTGGCTTGATCATAAAATTACACCTACCACCAGGGCCAGACTTCCCTGTTCTCAGGTCTGGGCCTCATCTCTGCTCAGCAGTCCACAGCACTGACAAATTTTCCCTTTATGATTCTATTTGCCTGTTTCCACACTAACCATTCCCCCATTTTTGCAGTTCTCAGCGCTGGCTGCACTTTAGAATCACCTGGACAGCTTTCAAAAATCCTGGTGCCTGGGCCATACCCCAAATCAATTAAATCAGACTTTCTGAAGGTGGACCCCAGGCCTAAGGATTTCTGAAAGCTCTCTAGGTGATTCTAATGTGAAGCCAAGGTTGAAAACTAGTATTATTAATATATTGACATAATTTTTGTTTAGCTATGTTAATATCACTGAGCAGGAAATAGACAAGTCCAACATTCCCTACTTTTTGCTGTTATATGTTCTCTCCACCAGCACCACCCACTCCTGAAGATATGTGATCTCACCTATTTTCTATTGTGCCTACTAATTTAATGCCCAGGTTTCTGGAGATGCCTTATCCTCACCCAAATGGAAGACCTTCAGGCAATATGTCACAGGTCTCTAGTACAGTAGTACATTTTTAGGTGTATCAGCAAAATAAGGTACGACAAAATACTTTTGACATACATAACAGGTGGAAGGATCCAATAACTTATCTTTTACCATCAGTATTTGACAGAAATGATGTGGGAGACAGTTGGAAGAAAATAGTAAAGAAATCATAAAAAAAAAAATATCCTGAGTGCTAAATTCTTTGTGGTTCAGTACTTTCATCTGTGATAGAAAAACGTATCAGAAAAAAATCAATCCCATATGTTGAGAGCCTGAAATGGTACAGATAATGTATATTGTGCTGGGTACCATGTGAAATAAAAAGGCCATGAGAGTTTGGAGGGCTGGGGTCAGGAGTGATTGCCAACCAAGAGATTATGGGAGCTTTTGTTTATGGAAAGGGAACCTCGTGTATTGGAACTGTTGTTTTTTTTTTTTTTTTTTTTTTTTTTGAGACAGAGTCTCACTGTGTTGCCCGGGCTAGAGTGAGTGCCGTGGCGTCAGCCTAGCTCACAGCAACCTCAAACTCCTGGGCTCAAGCAATCTTCCTGCCTCAGCCTCCCGAGTAGCTGGGACTACAGGCATAAGTCACCATGCCCGGCTAATTTTTTCTATATATTTTTAGTTGTCTGATTAATTTCTTTCTATTTTTAGTTGAGACGGCGGTCTCGCTCTTGCTCAGGCTGGTCTCGAACTCCTTAGCTCAAACAATCCGCCTGCCTCGGCCTCCCAGAGTGCTAGGATTACAGGCGTGAGCCACCGCGCCCGACCTGTATTGGAACTTTTGATTATGGGAAAGGAGGTAGCATTTAAGTGGGGCCTGGGAGTCTGGGTAAGACTTGAAGATGTGAGGCTAGGAGGAAGGGCATTCTGGAAGGAAGTGAAGATGAAAAGGTGTGACGCCATGGAGATGAGCGGAGAACAGCAAGTAGTTCCATTTCCTCCTCGTGTGGAAGAAAATAGAATACACCAATATTTGAAATATTCTGTCATTTGGGTAGTTTGGGAACTATTCCCCATTCAAGATTTAGTTAGATCTTGACCAGAAATTGTGAGAGTTCAGTTGTTTGCTTTTTTACACTCATAATCTGATGTGATGTGCCCAAGGGGTGAGTAGTAGATGTAGAGGCCTCACCAAAGCATTTATATGTTCCAGTCTTGGCCGCACATTAAATTGCAGAAGAGGGAACCTGAACGTAAAAAGACCGGCCATTTCAATGGTGATGGCATTGCCTATGAGGTGCAAGTTGGCCACCTGCCATTTCCTATATTATTATTTACCTCAATAAAAAGAGGATAACGCTAGGCCTGTGCAAGTTATGAGTAAACGTGGGTCTGAAGATGATAAATATCTCTGTTAAGAAGGGAACAATCTGTGCATGTCATTCCTTGGGAGTCAGGGAAGTGGCAGTGACAGCTCAGCTGAGCGCAGAGCCTAGGAAGCCCCGCAGCTGTCTTCCTGCACTGCCTGTAGCCGTCTCCATAGCAACGCCCCCTCCCGGGAGAGCAGCTCAGCCCATAGAAATAACCCATCATTTAAAAATTAACGCAGAGGACCCCGGATTGGATCCTGCACAACAAATAACATTCTTATAGAAATATCCTCTCTAAGGACATAATTAGGACAAATGGGCTGAATTTGAATATAGATTGTGAATTTGATAGGTGATTCTCAAACTTCCATGTGCTTCAGACTCACCTAGCTAGCTTCTCAAAACACAAATTGCCGGACCCCATCCCCAGAATTTCTGATTCAGTATGGCTGGGAAGGAGGCCAAGAATTTGCATTTCTAAGAAATTCCCAAGTAATACTAATGCTCCTGGTCTCAGATCACACTTTGAGAACCACACTTTGAGAACCACTGGATTACATACTCACATTGTATCAGTGTTAGTTTCCAGATTTTGATCATTGTACTGTGGTTATGTGAGAGAACATCCTCAGCCTTAGAAAATACTCACAGTAGTATTTAGGACAAAGGAGCATCATGTCTGCAACTTACTCTCAAATGGTTCAGGAAAATGACAGAGATAGAGACAGGGAGACAGAAAGAGAGAGAAGATAGAAAAATAAATAGAACAATAACGTAAATGTGGAAAAACAATAATAATTGGAGAATCTGGATGAAGTGTATATGGGAGTTCACTATATTATTCTTGTAACTTTTCTGGCACTTTAAAATTACATTAAAATAAAAAAATTTTAATTAATGGAGGTAAAGAAAGTTATGGCAGCATATCATCCAAAATGGTAGCCACTAGCTACATGTGGTTATTTAAATTTAAATTAATTAAAATTAAGTAAACTTAACATCCAGTTGCTCAATTGCACTAACCACACTTCAAGTGCTAAAAAGCCCTATGTGACTAGTGACTACTGTATTAGATAGCACACGTATAGACCATTTCCATCAGCACAGAAAGCTCTATTGGACAGTGCTGACTACAGTTTAAAATTTTCTAAGACCTGGAAGAAATCTTTGAAAAATTCAGTATACCAAAAGCAGCAATAGAGGTAGCAGTAATAGTTACAAACAGTAGGAGTCATTTGTTTCTAAAATAATAAAGTTTATTGACAGAATGTGCTAATGACGAAAAATGATCAAATTATAGCAGGTGGATCGCAGTGTAGCTACATATGCAAATATCTGTAGTTTTGCATGAATTAGTGACATATTTGCCAGAGCAGCTGTCCAATATCACTGCTCTGCACACGTCATCATCTTACCGATTTTCTTAACAATTCACTGGGTGAAGGAGAAGTAGACCTCCAAGCAACCTAGTTCTTTTATTCCCCCAACTTCCTCCAAGCAGAGCAGGGTCAGGACCTGGGTCGGGAAATATTCAGCAAGGCTGAGCTGGGGAGGGTGACCTGTAGGGAATGGCCAACGCTTGGAATATTTCAAACTTGTTCAGATATTTTAATTTGGCTATTGGTTTCATTTGGGGTGATACACCAGGTAATGTATAAAGCAGGCAAGGTTGGTTTTTGTTGCTATTCCTATTCCTTCTGAGCTTCTTTTCCTTCTCCTCTCTCTTCTTTTCTGTCTCTCAAACACATGGCACTCTCAAGTTGTATCTGGCTGCCCAAAGTTTTTGACCCAAACAGGATTGCCTTCCACTCTAAAGATCATCTTCTTTCTCTCCAGTATCATTTTTGGGGGACTCCAGCAACACCCAAGTGATGAACTGACTACATTCATCCACAGTGTAAACAGTACCAAATTCTCCCAAGGTGCATTTGGCTAACCCTAGCTTCCAGAGTATTCTGGAAGATACTTTCTGAGTAAGGTCATCTTTGGGTGATCCAATCCCTGTGCCTCCCTCTACCTAACCTCTTAGGAGTGAGCACAATGACCCTTACTATAGCTATACATTGTCAATTTCCCCTCTTGCATGTTCCAAGCAGTTTCACACTTACTTAGGTCTCAGTCAAACACACAGCTATTACTTGGAGAAAACATTGAGTGGTGGGGAAAATCGCAAATACCTGAAACCATAAATCACAATTTGATAAATATGAAGCATTTCTGTGGGGGAAACGAGCCATATTTGCATTTCCAAATTTCTAGTGGAGAAAATAAATCATAGAGCTAGAATCCAAAAATGAGATGTATCTCTACTCTGTCCAGGCCTCTGTTAGGGCATTTAAATGTCCATCTAAGCATTGGACCATTGTAGGAGATTTGCCTATACCCCATCGAAAAAATTGTTGAAGCATTCTTTTGTAGCAATTCCTCCTTAAAATACATTCATTTTGACTGAGTTTGTTAATGGAGGGAAAACCCTGCCTCAGAAACAAGTTTTCAATTACCTGGAGATAATCATTTTAGCTATAAGACATGAGATCCCAGGTCTTTATAGTTCATTCAACTTCTGGTTTGATAACTGCACTTTTGAGATATCTCTTTACAGCAGGCTTTTTACCATGCAACAGATTTTTATTAAGACTTCCAAGAGAAAAGACGAGTCTCACCTCACAGTACTCTGTAATAATGCAGAAATTATCTTGCTCCACAAAGCTTGCATGGAACTTGACAATAGTTGGGTGGTCCAGCTTGGAGAGTAGCTGGGCTTCCAAATTGGCCCGCACAGTCTCATTTGGATTTAGTTGTCCAATAGAGATTTCCTTCAGTACTTTTCTGCAGCCAGAAAAAAAAAAGTTTAAATACATTAGAGCTGCAAAGCACATTTAATAGATATGAGCAAGCGGTATAGGGCCACCTAATTAATGCCCAAGTTGTGACCTACTCACAGGTCTGGTATTGACATTATGTCTCCCAGTGGGCCCTGGGCCTGCATTTCTGTCCCAGTCAGTGACACAGCTTCCTCAAGGCCTCTGGCCTCCACATCTCTGCAACCTACAGTTTTGCAGAGGGCAGACATGAAGCTAATCTTGAGTAACATTTCTCGGGTGGCCCTTCTTCTGTCCCTCTGGATGTTTTGGTTTTTCTTGATCTCTCATGGTGTCTATTTCTGTCTCTTTCTCTCTCGCTATGTGGGCTGGCACTTTCTATATCTCTTTTCCTCTGTTTCTCTCTGCTTTTCTATTTTTCTCTCTATTCCTATATTGGTGTCTATGTGTCTCTCTATGTCTATCTGTCTCTTTCTCTATATATGTAAAATCTATTTATATATATATATATAATCTGTCACTCTGTCTCTCCATATCTGTCTCGTATCTCTTTGCCTATTTTTTTCCTTTTCTGTCTCTGCCTCTCTGTGTGTTTATTTGTGCATTTCTATGCATTTACACACACACGTGCACTTCTCTCACTCTCTCAGCTCTAAAATTTTCCAAATCTATCAGTTTAATATCAGTAGGACTAATATCTATTTATTTTCTTTTTAAAACTAACCATGGCATATCATACTTTATTACTACCAATATTTAAGAGAAAAAAAAATAACTAAAAACATTGAAGAGGTATTTAGGATCTCTAACGTGTATAAATGGAAGAGGGACTCACTAAATCCCCAAATCATTAATTTTAAAATTGTGATAACTCAGTGAGGAGTGGACCAAAACATTATTTCTTCCCATTTAAAAAAAAAAATAGTCTGATGAACAAACTAATTACAGTACTGCAGTGTAAACTAGATTGCTGGGGGAAAGCTCTTTAGAACTCCAATTATGCGTGCAGACAGATTCTGCTGATTGTACGTGAGCTCTGGCAGTTCATTAAGGCAAGTTCTGCGGGACCTGTACTAGAAAAACATTTTGCAAAAATGTTCTTTAAGAGGTACTACTGATGCATATCAATAAAAAGTGAATTTATAGTGGAAACTCTCTTAATCAAAGGCCCTTTAACCAACTAATAGATTAACCATTCTTCTCCAGTCTTTTCTACCAGGTGCTGACAGATGCCCCTGACATAGGGAATGCCCACAGCTAGTAGGCTCTCTCTGGCACACACGTGAATGTCTGCCCTTTGGGTTGAGATGTGTGGTTACCCAAGTTACCGTGTTTGTTCCCAAGCCTGTTTATGCCAGTTGTGCTCATTACTGTACATTTCTGAGTTAAATAGAATATAAATGGATAAGAGGAGAGCGTGAGAGTTATCTTTGCTAGGAAAACTAAGTCAAATGTTTACCAAAAAACCTGATAATGACAAGTTATAAAAAAATAGCTGTTTAGTAATTGACAGGACAGTTAAAGGAAGTTGGTTAAAAATGTAAAATCTAGTATTCTGAATTCAGATTGCCAAATTCTCATTCCACTTTAGAGAAGATAAACCTGAAAAACTTAATATATTATGAGTGGAGTTTACGTAAAAAAGATGAAGGGATCTTTAACCAGAGGACATTAGATGTTGGCTGTACATCCAGAAATTGGAGAAAATGTGTAATAGTATGTTTTAAGTTGATATAAATGTTTTAATTAGTGTAATTTTATTTTAAAATAGTTTCTTTTATTTAACCAAGTGCCAGCACCAATCACATTGGTGAGAAGAGCTTTTACTATTTTTTAAAACATGATTGTACTATTAACTTTTCACTAATTCAAACAAGCCTTTCCCTCTAGTTGCTTTACTATGGAAGAATGGTAATTTCCTCAGGCAGTATCATAGGTAGAGCTTGTTTCTTGTTTCAGATTGAGGGCCTAGAAGTTTTGATATTGCAGTCATCACACTATTACACAGTTTTTCCCCATCCCACTTCTCTGTGAGAGTCTATGATAAAAGATTCATTAAAATTGTAAGTTAGAAAATTTGTCCTAGAAGCTGAAAGCCTGTAGGAAAACTTAGAAAGTGCCCTTATCCTACTGTGGTGTTGGGTAACATCTGACTTCTTTTCCGGACAAAGAAAAACTGGGTTATTTCTGTTCTCTAAAATCTCACAAGGACAACCGTCTAATCCAAGATGACCATTATGGGGAAGTCATTTTTCTTAAAATTTGAGTCCTTAACATCGTATCCATTTTAAATGTTCTTCATGGTCTTGCCATTCTGAACTCATCCACCCCCAAAAAACAGCCAACAGCAGCCATTGGCTGCTTCCACAAAAAGCAGCTCAATTGCATTAGAAAGGGCAGCTCTATGCCAGGAGCCTCAGAGGCAATGGGCTCCTGCTCTGCCATTTACAGGTGATTTAAATGTGACTGGACTTAGAAAGTTGGAATATTTGGTTCCCTTCCCTTAACAGATGTTTTCCCATTGGTTTTGTTAGGTATTGAGCACTCTGTTAGGGCCTTACTTAATAATTAAGTGGATTCTAGAGAAATCTTTGCTTAGTAATATATTCTATAGAAAGACAGTTCAATTAAGACTTTGGTTACAAATGACCTAATGTTATCAGGAGGGGCATTTCAGACTGTTAGTGTACCCAAAGAAGCTTGAAATGGCATATGAGGCTATGCTTTTCTGTAACTTCTGAAGATTACAAAGCAGCAGGCAAAGCTCAATGGCATCTTCAGAGAGCTTTTTCAGTAATTTACTGTGCCCCAGCTAGCATGCAATTGTAAAAGTCACAGTGGTTAAGCATGACAATATAAAGCCCTACACACACTTGCAATATTTTCTTGCTGTGAAGGAATAAATGCTATAAAAAGCTTCAGGATACTTAATTTTTCCTTGCCAACATCAACTATTGTGCAGCAGAGCATGAGATTTTACATACAGCTACCTGAACCCTGTCTGGCAGCCTGATGAGAAAGCATAAAATCTCATTTGCCCACAGTTTAGCAGATGAGGGTAGGGCTATTAAGACAGGTGATATCAATTATAATCATCTCTAGCTGATGCAGAGACATTCTACCTTCCTTGCCTAAAATCGTGTCACCGAACTGATAGAAGAAACTCTCATTGCATGTCACTTAATACGAGATCCATATCAGCCAAAGATAGCATGGAAACCTACCAAGTCAAGGACAGCTTGTCACTTGCTCAGTGACTCTCAGCCTGTCACCTACTCCTAAATAACATGACAGATATTTATTTTATCAGAGCCTCAACGTGGGAGAAACTTTGACAGCAGCAAAAACAAGCATCCCTGGAGACTCGCTTATTTGCAAACTTCCTATTCTCTTTCCCGAGTGGCATGTTTCTTTCTTCCTAGAATCATTAGTGAACGGACAAACTTTGGAAATTTGGGATAATTATGGCTAATTTCATTCCCTTGAAATTGGCCCACGTTTTGTACAAATAGAGAAGATATTTTTGAGATATTAATCAAGGGTTATTTTTCCCCAGATTTCCATGTATCTTTTCACATTTTCCCTGGTCAACCAGCAGCATACATTGCCTCAGGAAAAAGATGACACCACTACAAGAATATGAGTCAAATCCCAGGCTTTCTAGTTCCCAAAGGAGAGATCAAGGTTAAAAAGAAAGGATCTGGAGGAACACTTGGCCAGCAAGTGAGCATTCTTCCTGCCTTGAGGTAAAGGGAAGAGGGTCAGAAGCAGGTAAGAAAATTAAGAACTGCTGAGCTCTTGAAAACAGTTGCTTTGCTGTAGGCCAGGTCCAGAGAAGGAGTAGAAAGAGAACTCCAATATGGATAAGAGGGCCCTGAGAAGAGGAGACCTTTGCTTTCCTTCCAAAGTAGGACAAAGAAAATTGCAGAACCCCCCACATTTTTTTGTATCAAGGGGTAGGAGCTGCAGAAAGTTCTTCAAGGGGCATGTAAATAGATGGGCCTGAGACAGCTCTAGAATATCCAGTATCCAAATAAGGTGTGTGGAGCAGCAGAATGATGTCCTATGCAGTCAGACCTACCTCGCTGAGGGCCAGTCAGCCGGTGGGACTGAAAGGCTTTGCAGTTAGTCTAGAGATAATGATCTACAGTCCCTTTTCTTGTGATTTAACCATCAACAGTCATTGATTGTACATATACTAGTAAATACCTACTATGTGTCTACAGTGTAGTGGGCACTGGGGATTCATGGTCCCTGCCCTTTGCGTCTGCTGGGGAAGAAAGATATTAAACAGATAAATGTGCATGAATGTGTATGTGTATATATATGGCTGTACTTTTAAAAACTTCAAACGGAAATGGATGCTATGAAATTGGGGTAAAGGATGTCTGAGGCCCTTTTGATTTCAGACTGATGTGATCAGCAACTACTGCACCCACTTTGGACAAAGCCACAGAAAAATAGATTTTAACTTCAACTTAGATGAGAATAAGTTTTTGGGTTTTGTTTGCTTTTTTTGATGCATCATTTACCTGTTTAACAAGGACAGATTATTAAATATGCTCAGGAGTTTTAAAGTAGATTTTTCATCCATCTAGCAAGGCAGCAATTATTTTTATCCACCCTTCTTAAATGGGAAGATCTCATTTTTTTCTAATTTGCAAGAAAATAGTTTCATTATAGAAAAATTTGAAAATACAATATAAGGAAAATATTACCGACAATCCACCGTAGAGATAATCAGCATTAACATTTTGGTGTATTTGCTTCCAATCTTTTTGCTACATATATTTTTTTTTAACAGTAGAGGCCAAACAGCTTATACAATTTGATAGCTGCTATTTTCATGAAACATTATCGCAGCCAGCACTTGTCATTTGTGGCTGCCTAGCTTCTTTAGACAGCTTCCCTACATTGTAGCAGATCCCTGGGCTGTGCATCCTGCCTCACCCAGAGAGAGAAAAACAAACAGAAAAACCAAACCTATGTCTCCCTATTTTCCCTGAG